TGGCAGAGGTATAGGTGTTGTTCTAATGCAGCAGAGGCAACCTATTGCTTTCTTCAGTAAAGCTTTATCTGATGGGAATCTGGCAAAATCTGTTTATGAGAAGGAACTAATGGCCCTTGTGTTGTGTATTCAGCATTGGAGACATTATTTATTGGGCAGAGAATTTATTGTGCATACAGATCATAAGAGCTTGAAACATTTTTTGCAGCAGAGAATTTCATCTCCAGATCAACAGTGCTGGTTGGCCAAACTTATAGGCTATCAATTTGAAGTCAAGTACAAACCTGGCCTAGAAAATAGAGCTGCTGATGCTCTGTCTAGATGTCATGGTGAGGTAGAAATGAATTCTATCATTTCTTTTCCTTTGTGGGCTGATAGACAGAAACTTTTGACTGAAATAAATAATGACCCGTACATCCAAAAGTTAATGAAAGAAGTGCAGGAGTCTCTTAAGCTTAGACCTGGATTTCAGGTGCAACAAGGAGTTTTACTGTATCATGGCAGGTTGGTGATTTCCCCCGAATCACCCTCTATCCCTTGGCTATTGGAAGAATTTCACAATACTCTTGTTGGAGGGTACTCGGGTTTTCTAAGAACATACCGCAGACTGGCAGATTCCTTATATTGGGTGGGAATGCAGAGGAGTGTAAGGGATTATGTCAGATATTGTGATGTTTGTCAGAGTCAAAAGTACAGTGCTACGACTCCTGGTGGTTTGTTACAGCCTTTACCTATTCCTAATAGTGTGTGGGAGGACTTGTCCTTAGACTTTATCACTGGGTTGCCTAAGTCTAAAGGTTATGAGGCTGTTTTAGTGGTAGTGGATAGACTATCCAAGTATAGTCATTTTGTTTTACTCAAACATCCATATACTGCTAAATCCATTGCTGAACTCTTTGTCAAAGAAGTGGTGAGACTTCATGGAATTCCAAGCTCTATAATTAGTGATCGTGATCCTTTATTTGTGAGTCATTTCTGGATGGAGTTGTTCAAGTTGCAGGGTACGAAACTGAAAATGAGTTCAGCCTATCACCCGGAAACAGATGGTCAAACGGAAGTGGTTAACAGGTGCCTGGAAAGCTATTTGCGGTGTTTTGCTTCTGATCATCCAAAGACTTGGTCATTGTGGGTCTCGTGGGCGGAGTATTGGTACAACACTACCTTTCATGTATCTATTGGGAAGACTCCGTTCGAGGTAGTTTATGGGAGACAACCCCCTGCATTGTTGAGATTTCTGTCTAATGAGACGAAAGTGGCTGCCGTGGCATTGGAATTGAGTGAAAGAGATGAGGCCCTAAACCAACTCAAACTTCATTTGCTCAAAGCGCAGGAACAAATGTCAAGGTATACTAACATGAAGAGGAGGGAGTTGTGTTTTGAAGTTGGTGAATGGGTTTTTCTGAAACTAAGACCTCATAGACAACAGTCAGTGGTGAAAAGGATTCATCAGAAACTCGCTGCAAGATTTTATGGACCGTTCCAAGTGGCGGAAAAGATTGGTGAAGTGGCTTACAGGTTGAAACTGCCAGCAACATCTAAGATTCACTCAGTTTTTCATGTTTCATTACTCAAGAAAGCTGTTGGGAACTATCAGGTACAGGGAGAGTTACCAAAAGATTTGGAGGTGACCGAGGAGAATGATGTATATCCTGATAAGGTGCTGGATTCAAGAGTCACGGTGCAGGGAGGTAAGGAAGTTCAGCAGTCCTTGATACAATGGAAAAACAAAGCTGTAGAGGATGTGACATGGGAGGATAACGAATTTTTGTGTGGTCAGTTTTCTGAATTCTGCCTTGAGGACAAGGCATTGTCTAAGGAGGCGGGAGTTGATAGAGATGTGATTAGTGAAGTGGGACCTAGGCCAAGGGTGTGGAGAGTTTACACGAGGAGGAGGACAAAAGGAATTAAAGATGATGACGTGGCGGTGAATGAATTAAGTGCATGAGAGTGGCTATATGTAGCTACAGCTGGAAGGGAATAAGGAGGGAATTCATTTAGGATTTGGTGGGGTCACCTTTGGTGATTTGGGAGCACTCCGTGCTTGAGAATTGGTAGCTGCTAGTTTGTTATTTTTCCTTTTCTTCCTTCCCTATTTTCCTGTAATTGTGGATCTCATAGTAATACAGTTGCAGCTTCTTTATTCTAATCACACTGTTCTATCCATTTCCTTACTATTTTGTGCTTTAAGACCCATCAGGACCACCAATCTCAATTCACGTTTTCTTTCTAACAGCAAATGAATTCCAAATTTCACATTAACATTTACAAGCATTTTACAGTAAATTAATCCAAATTAAAATTCACAATTACACAACTAAATTCAAATTTCCATCTCATTAAACTAACATTTCATTTTCATTTCAATTTGAATTACAACAAAACCAGAATTTCACTTGCATTTCACATTCATTTGATTACAAGTTCTAATCAAAGGCTGAGATTCATTCTTCACAAGGATAACAACTTGAGTTACACGGATTGCACTTGATACTTCCCTCCAATCTCAACTTATTTCACTACTCTTTTCCCTCTCAAAATTCACTCAATTCTCACCATCTTCTACCCTATATAAACACCCTTAATAACTTTCCAGGGGGAGATTACAAAAATGATTCTGCAGAAAAATAGGCATAGTCTTCCTCCATTTTTTCCACATCAAGGCTCCTCAAGAAGCCATTAGAGCTTCACATCAAAGCTCTAATTGAGATTGAGCTAAGCCCCACATATTTCAACGAGACAATGCTGAATGCACCAACAAGCCAGAAGAAGAAGGAGTCGGAGAAGGAATAATAGAAGAGAAGGAAGAAGAAGAGAGCATACCTGAACCTTTTTTCCCTTCACCGGAGTCGAAATTTTCCGGACTAGCTCCGGTTAGGTTTGTGATTCTTCATTTTTTTTTAATGTTTTCTTCATACCACATTGATCACCATACTTCCTTGAATAAAACCCCTCGGTTATTTACTTGAAATCATGTATGGCTGTCATTTATTTCATTTTTGAAGTTTAGGGTTTTTGATTTAATTTGTAAATAAATGACTATGGTGAGGAATTTGTAAATTTGAGTTTTGGATCCATACTCAGGACAAAGCGATGGTCACTGTGGTATATTTTATTGGTTTTGTTGGCCACCTCTCGCCAAAGCTCATGGTAGAGGAAGCGGTGGTTTTGTTGTTACACTAGAGAGGGAAAGAGTGCACTGAGAGAGATGAAGGTGTGTGAGGAAAGAGAGAGTGCATTTGAAATCTATCACGTGTTTCGTTTGCTTGTTACACTAGAGGAAAGACAGATTTTTGTGGGAGACGCACATTTATTTAATTGATAAATGATTGTTTATAAAAAAAAATTGTATCATCAATATACTTTTTCAAATAAAGTTTTTCTAATTTATTAAAATGTTTATATCAATCAAATTTTTGTTTGCTTATAAAAATATTTATATTAATAATACTTTTTTTATTTATACAACTTTTTATCAACATTAAACTTTTACTGTTAAAAAATATTTTTTCAAAAAAATTTATTTTTCAATTTATAAAAATATTTATATGAATAATATATTTTTTTTTCATTTATAAAAATATTTGTATTAATAATATGTTTTTTCTGTTTATAAATACATTTGTAGCAGTAATATAATTTTTTACATTTATAAAAATATTTGTATCAATAATATATATTTTTCATTTTATAAAAATATTTATATTAATAATAAACTTTTTCTTGTTATAAAAATATTTATATCAATAATAGGTTTTTTTGTGTTAATAAATATTTGTTTAATAATACATATTTTCCGTTTTTGAATATTTGACAAATAAAAAACATTTATAATTTGTGTAAATTTTATTAGGATAATTATTTGTTAAGATTTATAATTGATTGGTAAAACCTATTTTTCAATACATGTTTGAAATTTTAGATAAATTAATTAAAGATTCATTCTTTCAATTATTGATTTAAATAATATTTCAATGCTTTATTAATAACACCATTTAAATAATCATTTAGAATATGCCACTTGAATTTTTGTAAAAAGTAAATATTAAAATTGATAATAGAATATTTAGTGTATTAATATTTCAATGTTTACTTTTTTGTTATTAATATTTGAATCAATAATTCTATTCTTGTTGTGTCATATAGAGCAAATATAATTCTGGTCAGAACTTTTGAGACTTGTTGAGAAGCTACTTTACTTTATATAACTCTTGTCAAAAGTTGGTGTTGGCTGAAAGAATAAATATAAAAATTCAACTGTTTACTTCATATGAAGAATGTTTAGGACTAAGAGGATATATATAGTATGAGAATGAGCAAAGACTATTACTTAGCAACAAGAAAATTTTACTATTATTATTAGAATAAATTATTAAATCATGTGACAACTTGTAATTGTTTTACTTGATCAATATCCAAGAAGTCAAAAGAAGTGAAAATAAAGAGAAGTCGAACTTTAGTTTATGTATTCACAATTTCATTAACACTTTGTATTGGATTCTCATATCAAATTTGGAGGCTGATTTAATCAAAAGAAAAACTCAATTAATATTACAAAGCAATTTGAAATATAAGGAAGTTGATAATGAAATTTCATATCTGATAATGTGCATGTATCTTGTAAGTATTATGTGTCTTTTGGTTAACTTAGTTAACACAAAGTTTCTTGAAATTGTAAATACAGAATAAGTAATTCTAAGGATGTTTAGAAATTGGTTTCTCCTAGTCATTTATGGTGTTGAAGATGCAGTAGGTAATGATACAAGTTGCTTCTTATGGTAGATTTTATGAGCGTATCAATTAAAGCACATACAAGAAACCCTTAAGACTGTAGATTCATTCTGCAAAACCTGCATGAAATTATTTGCTTAAGATTTGTAAGTTTCAAATATTGTGAACAAAGCAATTTAACTTAACCAATGAATTCAACACAAACCTCTTCCTTGAAGCATGTGTTATTTATTAGTTATATAACAAAATTCCTCCACATGAGGTGCACAAATCTACTCATAATTACTGCCAACAACAATCAAAACCAGTTATTTATGAACGGCGACGAAGCAACCGAAGAAGAATTATACAAATTTGACCCTGAAATCGGAATCTAAAACTTTACATTAGGAATCAGAACCCAAAATACTGACCGATTCACTAAATAGGAGAAAAAAAGTTTTAGTTTATGCTACTTATTTTGAAAACAATAAATAGAAGATAAGGTATCACATATAGATCGATTAATCACACGAAAATTAAAACTCGATCTAGTAAAATTGAACTGTATATATTTATTAAAGGTTGATTAGACAAATTTTTGCAGTATTTAGAACAACACTTGCAATCTGGTAAGATGCTCATAAGTTCACAAGTGCATGAGCACCAAAAACTTTGTCTACACTAAGACCAAAAACTTTGTCTACAATGAGAAAAACTTCGTATGCTTTTTCTGTAACCAAGTTAAGGAGTAGACTATGTCGACAATGTGAATCGGGTCTATAGGTTTAAAAATTTTCAAAAATATGAGTTGGTGGAAATATCTTATTAACTTCTCCAAAATATCAGAAAAAGAATCTCTTATCAACCACGAAATTTGGTAGTAATAATAAAGAAAAAAACAATCTGAAACAACATTAAGAAACTTTATAATAAAAAAAAAACTATAAAAATTCAGTGATAGAATCTAATGAAAGCCTTTATGATAGTAAATAGTAACCGTTGAGTGATATGATGTTGGGGTGCTTCAGTATAGAAGCTATTGCAAATGACATCCAAGAACATTTCCTCTTCTCTGTAAGACAGATTCGTCATGTTTATGATCTTCACGGTCAAAATCTTCAACAACAACAAAATGTTAATTTGAAACCTAAACGTGATGAAAAGAAAATTTCAGTGTTTGAAAAATAGTTTGAGATTGTACGTTTCCATCAGGAAATTTAACTTTGTAAACAGGATCAAAAGGTTGCCTTCATTGAAGAAGTCAATAGCCAGCTGAAAAATAGTATTACTGTTTTCAATCTATTTGCAAAATAAAATCTTGTGTTCAATTACAGATATATAAACCAGAGCTATCATGGCCATCATTAAACACATGAAAATTAGAAACTTTTAATCTCATCATTCATCACCATCCACTCGCCAAAAATGTCAGTACCATTTCCCTCTGCTAAAAATTGTCAAATGAGCCTCGGTCGATCTTCCTTCGTTTGTGACAGAGAAAAAAAAACTTACATTATCTTAATCAATTTCCTTGACCATTTCATCAATATGGATATCATCCAATGATAGAATACATAACAGGAAGAACCAAAACAGAACGTCACCATGCAATGAAAAAATTGTCGTAGCCTGACACCGCATTTGCCTAAAAAAATTGTAAACACGTAACCACATCAAAAATAGCTTGACTGAAACCGGATAACATTTAGTAACACTAAACAAAAAAAACATCAGGAACCATATGTAACTGAGAATGATTTCTAAAACTCCCATTTTCATGTCAGTCGTAACGGCAACATGTTTTTTAATCAAATTTCCAAGTGTAAACGGTACTGCAACACTTGAAAATATTTCTTCCATTAGCTTTTCATGTAAGTCGTAACTGCAACATGTTTTTTAATCAAACTTCCAAACGTAAACAGTAATTTTCAAGGAATGATATTAAGAACATAAATACAAAAAATTGATTATTTACTTAAACTTTCAAATCCTCATCGAAGAGAGGTGCCTGCTTAACAGCTGGTACTGTAAACCCTGCATATAGACAATGTTCTTTCTCCATTACAAAATCAAGAATCTCGGCCAAGATACCCTGCACATGGTGAAGTAACAAACAATTAACAAACAATGTAATAAACCTGTTTTTATCAGCAAGTAGATCATCAGTAGTAGCATGTGGGGACTCCATAAATTCCAACAGCTCCCAAATATTCCATCAAGCTACAATTACTTTCTCACCTTAACACCAACCATAACCATGTAAACAAATTGATCAAAAAATAACACTTTATATTGCAATACTAAGTTTATTCCAAAACTAATTTTTCATAACAATTAATTAATCATTACAAAAAAAAGTTAATATAAGATTACAAGATTTAAAAACGTAAAATCAATAAAGATAGAATAAGGGGAAAAAATTATTGATGAACAAAGAGAACCTAAAAAGGAAAAACGAAATCTTGTTAATGGAAAAAATCATAAATATCACGCGGTAGAATAAAAAGAACAAATAAACACTGAAAAGGAAGTTAAGAAAAAACTCATTGGGAAAATATTACTATTATGCCTTATTGATGAAGAACAGTGACCTGAAAAAGAAAACAATGAAAAGAGGATTAAGGAGAAAAAACTCAGAAATCGATAAAGTTTAACACTTGAAGATCAAAGTTAAAAAAAAAAAAAACACTTTTTAAAGATGAGGAGGTTTCAATTACAGATTTGATGGTTTCGGTTCCAGATCTGGTAGTTTTGTTGGTTTTGATTTCAACTCCGGTGGTTCCGTCGAAAGTCGTTTCAGATCCGAAAGATGAAGAACTGATGATGAAAAAACTGAAGTGATGAAGAAGATGATGTCTCCAATTCTGAGGAAGGGATGAAAAATTATAAGAAGGATGTTCTACGGCGGAAGAATAACAGAGTTGTAAAAAAAAAAATGCCAAAGCATTAAAAGAGAAGAACTGTGTGATGGGAGAAAGAAAATATTATAATAAGCCAAAAAATTATTTTCTGTCAAAAAGATGATATTTTATGAAGTTTTAAAATCTGAAGCATGTTTACAATTTAGTAACGTTACGTGGGAAGTATAAGTAAGTAAAAGGAATGGAGATTGCTTAAGCCATCAACATGGCAGTCTGGTGAAACAGCAGGGCATAATGGTATTTTTCAGAGCATAAATTGTTTTTATATAGATTATTTTTCATTACCACGTGAGACCCCACGCACGCGCCATGTGGCTCCTCACTTAAGTCAGCATTTGACTTTTTATTTTGGACTTTTCATTGCATGGGCTTTGTTCCTCATCTATTTACAATCCATGCATAAATGTATACCCCCTTCAGCAATCAGCTTAGGTCTACTTTTGGGCTTTGTGTATTTGGGCTTCAGTCTCATTTCTAACTGCAGCCCTCAATTCTATTCCACACCTCATTTTTTTCTATTTTCTTTTTAGATCAATAAATCTTTTTCCATTTAAATCAATTAAAATATTTGTAATTAATAAAATTAATTAATTAATTTTGTTTTAGTTAGTTAATTGTGTTAATTAAATTTAATTAACTTAATTATTCAATTGAATTAATTTTGAATCGAGTATTCTTGATAGTTTATTCCAATTAACTTAATTAATTGATTTAATCAATTTTAGTCAATTAATCTTGCTAAATAAATGTCATTTCTCTTGTTTAATTCAATTAAGTAACTTGACCTCTCAAAATCAAATTCTTTCAAAATTAAACACTTGATCTAACGCCAAGTTGTTGACGCTTTCAAAAGTCGAAAGACAAAGGACAATCGGATGCACATCCTTTTGAAACCTTGATAGTCGGGTGCAAGGTGCACACTTTGTTCAAAGCGACTACTGGTCTTTCCACTTAACATACTTAATTAAACTAGGGATAAAGGGGCAATTGGATGCACATCCATTTGAAACTCGAGTAAATGAGCGCAAGTTGCACACCTTGTTCAAACGCTTATTCATATTCCGCAGAGACAATTTTCATAAACATGGACGACAAAGTACAATTGGATGCACGTCCTTTTGAAACACTGGGTAAACAAGCATTTGGTGCACACCTTACTCAAACGGTTACTCGAATTCATATAAAATCAATTTCAACACATTCAAATCTTTTTCCTTTTGGTTTTCAAATTCAAAATCTTTTCATAAATGAAAGATGCTTCATTCATTCTGCGACGATGCAAATAGCGCTTCCATGTGAGAATATTCAAATGTTTTCCACTCAAGTGTGATAAAGACATAAATTTGTGTTGATGTGGATTATGTCGTCCGTTCTTGAAGTGATGCAAATATTCAATTATCCATGTTTTGGGCAGTAATGAATGTTTTTCGTTCGAATGCGACTTGAGAATCTTTCGCTAAAATCGACCAACACACAAACATTTGCTACCCAGAACTACGTAGCCTTAAGTTATTAATCACACATGAAGATACGTTGGAGCGAGATCCAAAGTCTCATTATGCACAATAATAAAAACCCTAAAAATATTTCCTTTTTCTTTTTCTCGCATAATAAATAGAAGATCGCAAACTAACATTTCGCTAACACTTTTCGCAAAACTAACTTAATAGGTCTCGTTGAGTATAACAGATGTGAGGGGTGTTAATACCTTCCCCTTGCGTAACTGACTCCCTAACCCGCTCTTGGTTGCAACAACCATTTTTCTTTTTATTTTGTGGGTTTTATCGATGTTTTCCCTTTCCTTTTGGAATACATAAAGTTTTGTGGTGACTGTGTTGTATTTTGAGTGTTTCTTACGCTTGGGTATTTTTTGCTCCGCGAGAGCTGGCTACTTTGCAGGGGAAATGGTTTCCCATAAGTGAGTCTACCCTAGTTTTGTTATATTTGTGTTTGATTGTTAGATTTGTTATTTCGTCTTCTAATTTTTATGTTCCTTTATCTTGCTTTATTATATTCATATATGGGCATTGTGAATGTTACTTGAGAGAAGCTCTATACTCTAGTTTTGAAAAAAAGAAGAGAAAAAAACATAAGTTTAGAAGGTGGTTGTAAAGTGTTAGTCCCCCTGGTGCATACATTGAATGGCTAATGCGAAGACCCCACTTAGAGTAGATCTTTTCACAAAGTTTGTCATAAAATGACTAGCCTGTTGTATGACAAAAATACGATTAAGGTCGATGACTTTAAGAACCTTTGTAGAACATGTTCCATCTATGGTGGTTGTGTAGTGTTTACCCCTAAGCTGCACACCTTGTATGGTTGTTGTACCCCAAAATTTTCCCTCCCATTTTCACAGAAAAAAACACACTCCTAGTGGTCCTCAATTGCTCAAGTTGACTAAGGATTGACCAGACAAATCCTCCTCCTAAGACAATGAGCCTCAAACTAGGGTTTCACTCCTCATCAAGATTGTTTGAGTTCCAAGAGTACTAAGTGGTTTCTATTGCCCTAATATGTCCTCAAGATCATACATGCCAAGTTCCATGCCTTGCACAAGAAGTTTGCTCAGTCAACTGCTCAAATGCCTGAAAATCAACTGTACTAGGTCAAAAGTCAATTGTGGCCCACATACAGTCAAACTTCAAGATTTTTGGTCAACATCAACATTTTGAAGTGATATCCATCATTTGATCAAGGGTTGATCATGATTCCTCAAGGAATGCTCCTAATTCATCAAAACTCAAAAGTTGCTAATGTAGGGTTTCTATAGGAAAAGTCAATCAAACTTTGACCAGGCATAACTTTCTCATACTTTATCAGAAATTTCTCATTCAAGGCTCATTTTGAATAGAATCCAATTCCCTACAACTCATATGCATCCCTCAAGTTCAAGAAATACACTCATGAAAAGATATAAATTCAGACATTATAGGTCCTTTTCAAAAGTCAACAAAAACACCTTCTGGGTCAAAGCTTCTTACATGAACATGGAAGATCCAATTGATATGAAACCAAAGATGTTTCTTAGGGGACATCCTAAGCTTTCTAAAAAATCCAAGAACACCCTCTTAGGGTCAAAATTGAGAGAGATGTGCATTGTCAAAATTGGCCATTTTTGGAAATTTGCACAAAGTCAATAATACCCAAAATAGCATTTTTTTCCACATGGGCCCATCTTTTCAAGATTGAATCTCAGTCCTAGCATGGTCCACGACCTATGGGAGCCTCCATGCCTTATTCACTTATTTATTTAATTTATTTTGATTTTTATTCATTTAAAAATCAAATAAAATCAAATAAATCCAAATAAATCATATAATTTGTTTTAGGATTGATTTTTGCATTGAATGAAGATTTTATATGCTGTAAAAAAGCCAAGGAAATCGTGCAAGGTCAAATGGACACAAAATCTTCATACATGGCAACTTTTTAAGATTTGATTTCTTCTTAAAATCATGCCATCAATCTTTTTATTCTTTCCAATTATATTGCCCTAATTTGATTCAATACATATAACAAAGTGTTTACAACTCTAGAACAGAAGAATTCATGCGCAGCCTGCCTCTCTAAGAGCAAGAATAAAGATTCAAATTTTGGACAAAAAAGTGCATATCAGATTCCTTTCTACATTCCGTTTCAAGCTATTCCAAGGATCAAATCACATCCCCGGGCATCCTCTGAAGCGATTGCAAGCATTATCAAAGCCTGAAGCATCAAGAATCACGTGCTACCACCTTCACGGTTGGCATCTTTTTTCTAAATTCGTTTTCATTAATTATGTCATTATTAACATGTTCTAAGTATATATTCATGCTTGTAATCATGTTTGCAATGTGTTTAGATGCTTTGATTTGAGTTTACGTGCAGGAATCATGAAACGTCATTCTTAGGCTTTCAAAATATATTTTAGGGCTTTTTGATACAGGTTAAATTAAGCCAAACCAAGGGTATATTCAGGTTCAAATGGTTGATTTCCAATCGATCCATGCCCTTGGTTGAGATTTATCATGCATGTGCTGCATTTTGGAAATGTCACAAGTTATAGCTATGGACTTTGTCCGTAGGTAAAAGTCTAGTACCTAAGATGACGGTCCTGTGAAGAAGATTATGGCATGTCCAAGCCTGGTTGAACAGTTTAAATCTCGCGTGTTTTTCTTATAATACTGACTCATTATCTAATATATTATTTGTTATTTGTTTGTATCAACGAATGATCAGCTTGGCTCAGTGGCAAAGGGAAGAGGTTTCAAGACGCGTGTGTGTAAGA